ATATCCGATGGAAAGGCGACCTTAATTTTGTTATATTATAACTATCGAAATGAATCTAGGATACTTTCCTTGACGAGGATATTATAAGTGAAAGTAAAATGAAACCCGCAAAATTATAATTTGCGTAATTACTGGTGGTAGGACCTCTTGGGAGTCCACACGGGTAGGCACCACCACCCTGCCTATTTCCGCCGTGAAGCAGTAATGCGTTTCGGTTCAAAGGGTGGGGTAGCCGTTGTAACTATACTGAGACCTTAGAACTTATATCTCGAGGTGGGTGGCGCAATTACGTTGTAGATGTCTATAGGTTCCAGTAACCACTTAACATCAGGTGGGCTGTGAGCTCGTCCACCCATCTAAGCAATAAAAATAAAAATAATAATAAAGTATCATTAATAAAGGTTTTAAGAGACTTTTTAACCAACTAAACGTAAAAATTTGTTTACATTACATTACTTACATTGAATTAACAAAATAATATTCTAGACATAGTTAGTTAAATATATGTAGATGCCGAGTAATATAATTCTAAGCCGTAGGTGCCATGATAATACTAATTTTAGTTACTAATCAACGCAGTATTACAGTCGAATAGATTCTCGCAGTTTCCGAGAGATTCCGTGCCATTTGTCCGATCGAATTGAAGCTACAATTGTTGTCGACAATTTCAACTTTTTTTCGTGGTAACGTCAATAGTTGTCGTGCGTTATTATTTAATTGCTGTTTTTTGAAGTTATACTTCTTTAGGCGCGTTATGAAAAATTGATGAGAGTGAAATTTTACGATGTTCGCGCACCGTGACGCAAAATTAACAGAAATGAAGTTGCCCACTAAATCGCTCATTAAGTTGAGGAAAAAATGCTACCAACAAAACAGAAATGGAACCTCTGCTAGTGGCGCATGTTGGCACGCACACCGCCTCTGTTCACTGTGTATTTATATTTACTAGAGGTCCCGCAGTAGTCGAAATTCGACTATAATTAATTGGAACTGTAAGTTTGTACACTATTATGATTGTATTTTATACTTCACAAATTTCACCAAGACTACACTATAAAAAATATTAACAAAGGCAAACAATATTTAATCTATTCTCAATTTGACAATAGACGCCAAGAACAAAAGTTTGACAATAAATAGTATGGATGCGTGTGTGCGTCAAATACATGGTATGTAGTGTGTGTAATGATTTATTTATTGATTTAATGTGTCTTTTATGCATTATTTTAAAAAAATATTAGCATTGTGCACTTCTTCTCTATATTCTCTATAAGTGTGGAAAATTTCATACGCCTCCGTCCGCACAATTTTCGCAAAAAGGGATACAAAGTTTTTGCTTCACGTATTAATATATAGATAATATTTATCCACATGCTTTGAGTTTCTAGATTTAAAACATGTGTTTTAATTTTGTTTTCATCATACAAGTGCGAATTTTGTATGTGCGTCTGAATTATAATCAGAAGTGATTTCAATTGAATATTTAAATCAATACTAATTAATATTCGAAAATATTTGTGAAAAAAACTGTGCTCATCAACCTTCCTAAGTGCTCCAATACAATTGAGGTTAACTATCCGTATGTATTATTTAGTAATATAAATGACAAAATTATTATTTAATATAATTCATACTAAATATTATTAAATAATGAACGTTAAATATTTATTATTAATTATTTAATATATAAAAGAAAAGAAAAAAAAATTATAAAAATAAAGTATGACTTCTTACGCGGTACATAAGTACACGCACCCTTTTTTTTAACCACTAACGATATTTACAGCGAAGCGTGATTGATAAGTTTTCAGTAGAGTTTTTTACACAACCTTATGATTTCACAAACTGTTTATCTGATGTCATTGACTTATCACTGTCTAATCAGTAGTCAAGGTAAGCGCAACTACACATAATATGTATATTGCTTACCAAACATAAACCGCAAAAATAAACTTTTTTTTTTAAATGACCGTTATGTTTTCCTTTAAATTTCTTTTAAATCGTTTTAAATTTACTAAACAGAGACGTTAACACACGTATATTTTTTAATTACAATACAATGTTAGTACACAAATATGCGATTTAAGATTTAATTAGGATTTGACGAAGTTTACAAACACCGCCTACTCTTTACCGCTGCTTTCGAAAGAAGAAAGGCACAACTCGCTACTTACCGCTAAAGACTATTATCAAACTTATTTAGAAGGAATACATGTCATAGCGCTCAGGAAACATCTCGGTGAGAGCATTTGAAGCTCGGACAGTGTGTGGAAAAATGATTTCCGTAAAGTCACTTATCACTATCTTTTCGTAATTTCTTTTATATTGACATAACACATCAGCCCCGAAACGCTGTAAAATTATTGCGAGCCAAGATGTTTGTTTTTTTTCTTCCCTACCTATGCTGACAGCCTTGAGTGGCTATTTCAGCTTCTCCTTGACGAGTAGGTAGCTCACGGGGCTCAAACCGGAGTGTTGCTGACGCTGGCCCTAGCAAGAGCAGTGCTTCGCAGAATCTACCACCGGATCGGAAACGCGACTCATTGAGAAGATCCGGCGAGAAACTCAGTGGGAAATTGCTTGTGGTCACCGTCGTGTCTATCTCAGACGGAAAACAGTGGGACAACAATGTAATATAAATGACAATTGCGCCTCACGGGTCAAAATGGACAATATGCACGGTATACAATTCGGCTCCAAATTGCCTTGAATTCGTCTGCCTCCATCTAAGCTAGTTATTTCGCAACCACAACTATCCAATTCATCAATATGTTTGTATACATGTATGTCCCTACATTTACGATATAACTAGTTCACGGACCTCTCATTCCGATCACGCCAATGCCAGCGACGATCCACGCATTTCGTATGCGTCACTTATCATCATTTCACCAGCACTCCGTGGCACTCACATGTGACATGACAAGGTTCAACGCCCGTACTAGGAGTTAAGAGGAAGAACGGGTGCCGCGCAAAATTAAGGCTTAGCTTTTTTTAAATTATATTCCGGTCCCTTCCTTCAAAACTTTAAAACAGATTGCAGCTCGAACAGGAAGTTTTGTTAAAAAGTGTTCCCCTATCATCATTATCTTGCCCTTCTCCCAGTAACTTGGGGTCGACGCAACATGCTTTCTCCTTCCATACTCTTCTATCATATACTATTTCTTTGCTCACTCCCCTCTTACCCATATCGTCTTTCACGCAATCCATCCATTTCCTCTTAGGTCTACCTCTTTCTCTATATCCTTCTACATTCATAGTTAATCTTTCCACTCTCTTACCAACCTCATTTTCATTCCGTCTCATCACATGTCCATACCATCCCAAACGCGCACTTCTCAGCTTCTCTGTCACAGGTGCCACTTTCAGACTTCCTCTAACATGTTCATTCCGTATTCTATCCATTCTCGTTACTCCACACCTCCATCGCAACATTCGCATCTCTGCTGCATGAAATCGCCGCAAAAGTGTTTTCCTATATCCTCCATAAAACACAAACAGTCGTTAATTTAATTGGATAAAAACATCTATTCGGGCCACTCTCGTTAGAACTGAATCCATCACAAGTATTCTATGTTATATCTCTCACAAGTTAAACCGTAAAGACTTATATGTTTATCTCTGTTAGTGTCGCTTTTTCGTTTCATCTAAATTCGAATAAAACAAAAAATCTAAAAAAAATATATGAACATAGGTACGCAATGTATAGTGATTTGTTCAAAATATTAGCTTAGGAAGGAAATATTTATATAAACACAACAGATTACGATTTTTCTCTTCGATAAATATATAATATAGGTAGTAAAATGTTCACACATTCGTTAATATTACAATACATATAACGCATGCCGTTGGTGTGACATATTATATATACTAGATACATTCTGAAGTTCGTAAACAAGACTCGTATTTGTTATTATTAGCTAAATGCAGACTCACCAGGCCCAAGTACCATCAAGTAAAGGCAGTTTTGCCTATACTACGCGTTCTTCATTTTTGTTACGTGAGTGCAACAGCCTACGGTGATAGGATGGATTTCTGCTTATAAAAAAAGTTAAAATAAATACTTTTTTGTCAACTAAGACCGGAAAAAGCACTAATTAACTGTAACTATACTTGAGACCTTAGAACTTATATCTCAAGGTGGCGCATTTACGCTGTAGATGTATATAGGCTCCAGTAACCACTTAACACCAGGTGGGCTGTGAGCTCGTCGACACACCTAAGCAATAAAAAAATAAAAAAATTATGACTCACTAACCTATGCTCCGAAAACGGATATATTCCGTGATGATTTGCAGCGACTTGTAACTGTTGCAAAAAGCTATGCTATCATTAATATCTTACAAATGTTTTGATTCATTAAAAATTAAAAGAAATAATGAATAAATAACACTTAAACTTTAAAAGGTACGACAGTAGATCTATTGTCTAGTTCGTATAGACAAGAATGTTAATTGATGTAATAATAATAAAATGTCGCATTTAAAATGGTTGCGACTAAAATGACATACATTATTAATAAATTAAACCCACGAAATAATGTAAATGTAGATAGAATTTCCGATATGAAATTTATCAACGAATAACGAATAAAGACATTTATTATACTTATTTGAATAATTGTTAGAAAATGCGTATTAAATAATAACAACGAAACAAAGGATAACACAGAGATACCACTTCCTTCTGATTCAACCATAATATTAATTTATACTTCAGAAAAATAATTAACATAAGCTTAGAGAACGAATTTGCGTTTATTTGTTAAAAAAAATTCCGTATAAAACACGATTTAACAAAATACCAGTTTATTTTTCGAACTTCTATGAACTAGTTTCAAAACCTTAGAGCGAGCATTACTCATTTGCTTTATAATTTAAATACAATGAAACGCTGCAACAAGAATGATACGTCCTTGAACTTATAGAAGGACAAGGTGATAAACATTCAAAAGATTGCCTAACAATTTGACCAACTAATACCAATGTTTGTTCCAGTGTTTGACGCAACGGCCAAGCCCCCGTCTGGCATACTGAGCGGCAATGGAAACCAATATGGCGACTTTGACGAATGTCTGAGCATCGACGCCGCTGTCCGAGGGAAGTACTGCCTTGCCTCACTTATCATCAACTTCGGGGATGAGCAGAAATATAAAAAATTGGACTATCTCATTCATAGTGGACATTATATCAGGAGTAACATTACAGATGTAAGTATTTTTCTACAATACCTACTACGTACAAAATAGCATATTGAAGTTATGAATGTGATTAAAATAAGTAATGAAATTTAGAACAATAATTTTCAGGTACAAAATACTTACTAGAATCAAGAATAGTTATTTGATTTCAGAATTAGTTAGGTAGTAAAATTAATGACTTGTTGAATATAAATTAGATACGAAACCAAGTATTTTTGTGAACACGAAAGAAGGCTCGAATTTTTTTATTATTTATGAGCATCTATATGTGTAATGGTGGAACAAGTCTATTGATATATCGTGTCTGCGCATCAGAAATATTTCTCAGAGACAATCAATTATCAGGGTGAATGATAAGGTTTTAATCCTTTCGAATTCAACATTTCAAATAACAATTTCAATAGATTGATAACTGTGCGGGCAATGTTAAGATTTCTTTAAACAGTTATCCTTAAAATAAAGTTGCGATTTCCAGATCACAAAATGGGTAAATCACTGCGCACGGGTAAAGAAACATTTTCAAAACGACATCTATTGTAAATCCAAATTATTCAGGGGTAGCGCCCAACTGTCGGGTGCCGGGTGCGGGGGTGCCCGGTACTCGACTGTTGGTCCAGTGGTGAGGCGGCGCAAGGTGGCTCCTGTGCACCGCTCACGGTGTGTCTCCGAGACGACGTCCTGCGGGATTTTCCCGGGGATGGAGGGCCGTCCTATTAACAGGATGGGTACCGGCGACGGCGAGCCTTCGGCGCGCACTGTGCGGTACCGTGGGTTTCGTGGAGTCGGAGTGGTGGGGCTCGATGGGGTTTAGTCGGTAGTCGTTCTGCGGGGCAAGTGCTTCGCGCGCCTTTTTCAAGGCGTAGTCTCCTGTGAGAAATTGGGGGAGGTGAAGGACCTCGGCCCTTCTCTTCTCCCCTTCTTCCTGTCAGGAGGCGCCGGAGTCCGACATAACCCGGTCCGTTACCCCCCTCGACCGGGTATCCGAAAATGGATTCCCCAGCGTTAAAAAAAAAAAAAAAGGGGTAGCGCCCAAAAATATAAAACAAAAAAGAAACCTAAAATCAAATCTCAGCCCCAATTGTAAATTTTAACCATACAGATACAAGAACTCACTCCAACAGATATAATAAAAAGATCGACACCCAATTCGCTGCAAACATTTAAAAGGAACTCAGCTCTAGTAGAACTCAGAACTGAGTAGAACTCAGCAGCAGAAGTAATGCTACTTTCCGATACTACGCAAACGAAGATGCGATACTAGCTAGTATTCAATGTTTCTAATCGAACAAAAATTTAATGAAGGCTCCGACCTTTACTTATCTTTAAATCACTGCTTATGAAAGCATATATGTATATATGAATATACGTCATTAAAATTCGACCCAGATTTCGTATATATGTATTAAATATACAAACATTTTGTATTCGTTGTGGCCTAGAAAATCAGTCAGTCATCAGTAAAACATTGTCATTAACCAACCCGAAGGGACGAATCCAAAAGAAGACGTCGAATCTATATATAAAAGACTGTTTGTGAACGTTCTCTGAAGATTACGATACGGCTAGACCCATTTCGGTGAAATTTTCAGGACGTCTTCAGATTGGCTTAGCGGGCGAACTCGCGTGTCTTACGTAGTTTGAACTCATTAGTGCAAATAATATCCTGATAAAGAGGCTCTGATACATTGACATAGAAATAGAGAAATAGAATTGAATAAAACCCTGATTTCTGTCTATCCGTCGATGTGTCTATTTCGAGAAGATTCCACGATCGTTCTCCGCCATTAATATCCTTAGTTTCCCAAAAATGTAGGACACAAGAAACCGCAATCCGTACTGTGCGTCAGTTAACATTTAATTCGTTTCGTGGCATGTGCGAAGGTGGACAATGTCGTAACGACTGTTGCAATTTAAATGCAGCCGGTGCTCTGAACAGAGGCAAGTACCCGTGACCTTCGAAAAAAGCGGCTTTTCTTGCGATACCCGACATTGGAATTGTTGCGACATGGGTCAGACCAGCAGGGGCTATCCATTACTTAAAAATCACAAATTATTCTTTTTTTGCAACTAGGTTTTCTACTCTTTTGTTTTTCGGGGATTGATGCCAAAAAAACTTTCCCGAAATAGAACCAATTAATGTTCAAATTTGAGTCTCGATCGGATCTCAAATAGAGTCTCAAACGAAACAAAACCTCCTAAATAAATGCTAATTATATCCAGGCTATTTGATTTAAGGAACATTTTTGCAACTTTACAGAAGAGCCATTTAAAGTTTAAAATTTAAAAAAATATCACAACAAAAAAATACGAGTTATTCGAATGGAGTAAACTTAATTTAAGTTCAATTAAAATCATCGAACCGTTGATGCTAATACCATATAAAACGCAACTTTAATAATTACAAAGGTACATGTCGCGTACGAAGCGAAATGTCACTTGTAGTTATTATCCTTTCACCCCTCTCTCTATCTATACTAATATAATATAATCTATACTAATATTATAAAGAGGAAAGATTTGTTTGTTTGTTTGTTTCGAATAGGCTCCGAAACTACTGGACCGATTTGAAAAATTATTTTTCCATTAGAAGCCGACATTGTCCCTGATGAACATAGGCTACTTTTTTTATTTTTATTTTTTTATTTTTTTTTTGGTTTCATGTGTCTTTTAATGTTTCCGAAGCGAAGCGAGGGCGGGTCGCTATATATTATATTTTAAGTAGTATTATAATAGACTATTTCTGATTTTACCAGTGAGAACGTTTTAAAATTTAAATCCTATATTTTGTATAATTTCTGAATAATACAAATATAAAATCGCAGCTCTAATAACCTGTTAGTATGACATTGATCACAAACTCAGCGATATCTATAAGAATTTTAAATTACGTAATTTTTATATAATTCTACGTCATTATCGGAATAGTCCACGAGATGCTTTAATTTTATAACATTTTTCCTACGCGTTTTGCTTCGATTTGAGCGATTTTCTCAAATCTGCATTTTGCTTCCGGAAGAATTTAATAGAAAATATTATAACTCTCGTTTCTAAGTCGTTTCATAAGATTTTGTCTGAAATATATACATCTTAATGAATCCACTCAATCCACTATCAATATGCTTAGTGCGAGTTTTTTAACGATCTCGATACCGTAAGAGTTATCACAGCGCCCCTAGCGGCAAACGTAGGCAAACGATCCGATTCCATACAAATATGAGCTAACTTTTACGCTATCGAGAACGTTAAAAAACTCGCACTAAGCACACAGTACTGTTGGATACTTCTGTTTCTAGTACTAGTTAGCCAACGCCGAAGAGTTCAATATAACAGTTATCCCACACTCCCATAGCATCAACCCGTTAGAGTTTCCCACCGGATCTTCTCGGCGTATTGCGAATTTAATGCGGTAGGACCCGCAAAACGGCTATAAATCTGGCAAACTTGTTTTCAAGGCACCCAAGTAATTGTGAGCAAATCATATTCCTGACTTCCTGATGAAGAATCTGCCCATCCTAGTGAAACTTTTTAGGTACGTCAAGCACCGGTCACCGTCCTCGCCGAACCCGTTACTTGCGACGAATGGCTCAACGAGTAAATTAACCCACAGACACAGCCCACTGAGTTTCTTGCCGGATCTTCTCAGTGGGTCGCGTTTCCGATCCGGTAGTAGGTTCTGCAAAGCACTGCTCTTGCTAGGGCTAGTGCTTGCTAGTTTGAGTCCTGTTAGCTCAGCTACACTTTAGGGTGAAGCTGAAATAGCCTCCCAAGACTATCAGCATAAGTAGGAAAAAAAACTAGTGAAACTGCAATCACTACATCCAATATATTTTTTGTAAATATCTTCTTAGTACAGGTACAAAATTGTCACAATTTTATAATACATACCGTCATTACATTTTTAATATATATATTTTGACTCACCTATCAAACTGGTTTGGTGAGAATGGGCGTGACATCAATTATATTGAAGATGACATAACGTTACTTATAAGGAATTGACAAATATAGCTTTTTTGTTTATGGGCCAATGAGTTGTAGCTAATTTGGTGCTAAGCGGTTATAGGAAATCGTAGTTACTACATCGTGAAAGATAAAATCGAAGCTGTAATTGTATAGACAGTTTTTTTTATTTTCTTAAACAACAAATAATTAAAAAAGGGGACAATGCAATAGTGATTCACGAAAACTTTGTACAAGGATGTTATTAATTGACATGACTTGGCGTCTTTTTTTTAGCTTTTTCGATGAGCTTACAGCCCACTTGGTGGTTACCCGTGCCCATAGACATCAACAACGTAAATACTGCCACCCATTTCGAGACATGACTTAGAACTCAGTTTCAGTTTTACAGTACAACGGCTGGCCTACAGTTCGAACCCAAATGCATTACTACTACACGCAGAAATAGGCAGGGCGGTGGTACCTACACGTGCTGGCCCACCAAACGCCCTAGCAATACGCAATACAATATTCGTACCAGCAGGTAAATTTAAACAAAAGAAAATACGTACCCAGCACGTTTTTATGAACTGCTTCCACAGCGAAACGAACGTCGTGTAATAAGAATCTATCTATATATATAAAAATGAAGTGATGAATGAAATGATCACTAGTGCATCCACGACCACTCTGACAAGAGTGTCCGACTAAGAAGAACGCAGCACTTTGTTAAACTTTCCTGTGCAAAAGACAAACAATAAGTGAATTTAATGATCGTTGGTGATGGTGGTGATAATGGGGCAAAAGATAATGGAGACCACATACTGGCATGCGCAGTGTGGGACGGCCACCTACCACAAATGAACTGACGATCTAGTGAGAATCGCTGGATCCCATTGAATGCCAGTGGCAACGGTCCGGCCGCACTGGATGTCAGTTAGAGAGGTCTATGTTCAGCAGTGGACAGGCTGAGATGGTAATGATGATGATGGTGATAAAACGTAAACTGGGCATATGCTGGTACGCACAGGCTTCCTGTCTATTCTCATCATGTAGCTGCTAGACCGCCT